ATAAACACGTTTAGATTGAATGGTAATTTATAATCAGTCACAAGAACGTCGAATCTGAATCACTTGAAAAAAACACGGGGGTGCTTAACTTTTTTCCAGGTGTATAATTTCACAAATGTCATTTGTAAATATATTAAAAAGGTTGATGAGGATTAGTTATATGTCTTCGACGATACGAAAGTAGGAAATTCAACTTACCGACTTGCGCATTTTTCAGTTACTCTTTTCACACTTTCGCCCCCCCCCCCACACTGGCACAACAGTATGCCCGGGTTTCGATACCTGTGGTGGGCAGAACACAGATAGCTCATTGTGTAGTTTTGTGCTTAATTACAAACAAACAAACTTTTAACACTTTCAGCCCCCCCACTGGCACAACGGTATGCCCGGGTTTCGATACCTGTGGTGGGCAGAACACAGATAGCTCATTGTGTAGCTTTGTGCTTAATTACAAACAAACAAACTTTTCACACTTTCAGCTTGTAAATTTGAGTTCATATTTTTGAAAGGGACTTATTTCAGAATGTGCTTATACTAATAACCATTTTTCATGTATTTAAGAAAGTTAGAATCCGAAAGAAAAACTTACACATCACTATATAAGTTACAAATACTTCATTTTCCACTAGAAATACCAAAATATCACGAGATTAATTATTCATGTGTTAAGCGTTTCACAGGGGCGATAGAAATTGTACTAAAAATTAAAAGGATTTCTAAAAGATCCAAAGAACTATGACCAAGCTTGAAGAGATCGACAATATTTTAATTTTTTGAATTCCGACTGAGTTTGACAAAAAAAGGTGACTAGACACAGAGTGAAAAAAAAATTAAAAATTAAACGTTATTTAAAGTTCAAAAGTTAATGAAAGTGACGATGATTCTGGACGACAAATAGTACTTATGCTGGAGAACAAGCTCTTGACTCTCTGATACTAAACCTGAATCCCCAATAATCTGTTCCAGAGTGAGAGAGCACAGCATTATATACAAAGTCTTATTGTATCATCCCGATCAGTGCAATCACGTCTCTGTTGGCCATTCCAACAACATGCACACCCTTGACTTTGATGATTCTGAACCACCAATGATAAAAGTTCACCACCCATGTTTACATAGTGTATTTTTAACATAAACCTGTCTTTCGTTGATGATTCTGAACCACCAATGATAAAAGTTCGCCACCCATGTTTACATAGCGTATTTTTAACATAAACCTGTCTTTCGTTGATGATTCTGAACCACCAATGATAAAAGTTCGCCACCCATGTTTACATAGTGTATTTTTAACATAAACCTGTCTTTCGTTGATGATTCTGAACCACCAATGATAAAAGTTCGCTACCCATGTTTACATAGTGTATTTTTAACATAAACCTGTCTTTCTCACGAGGAAGAGCTTGCAATATGAAAGAGAAATGGCCCAATGCAATAGGTAGGTAGAGTGAAATGAATTTAGCGATATTCCATGAACAATATTCCATTATTAAAACTACAAAAATGACTAGAAACGTAGTTGCAAAACATTTTAAAGATTCTTGGTGAATATGAATCATTTACTTTTCTAAGTTAAAGAAAACAGAAAACACCAAACATGCTCACACTTTCTCTCTTCTTCATCTTCAGGCTATCCCTAATTTTTAAACTTTATAATCCAATGGAAGAACTAAAACTTTCACACTGCAACTTATACCACCCCTGTGAAACACTTACACAACACTACATATAGATGAGACAAAAATCATAACCTTTTAACAAAGATACCAATTGAACTTGATAACATCTTTAATAAAAATGTATTCTATAGAGCAATATTTAATTTATGATGGAAAATACTTAGGCATAAAATCAAACAATAATTATTTAGTTGTCAAAAACTCACTCTCAGATAATATTAAACAATTATAACTATTTAGTTATTAATATGGAAGGGTAATGTACTCATGTATTTTATGATAAAAACAACAATAGAACACACAATGTGTATTACTCATCCAGCTTCTTTGGAGTCTCAAAAATTGGTCTTCAGGGGGGGGGGGGTAGATTTCAAACACGTATCTTCGGTATCTATGTGTTGGTTAGTTACAATTTCCTGACCCAACTGACCATCCGGTGAAAAATGCATTGCCATATTTGGTCAACAATTCACTGAGCTATAGCCACTGTGTTGAAACAAAGTTGCATTCACAATCATAAACTAGTGACATCAGATATGCCACCACCCCTTTATTCGCTCTTCGATGCAGCACAACAGAAGCAACTTGAGTAGTTTTGGTTATCGCCATTTCGCTTATCATACCAATGACCTTTGTAGCAGTTTGAATAGCAAATACGAGGACACACATTCTCTAGATATCACCTGACCTTCGAATTGAGAAGATCACCATTCACTATTACATAGTTTATTTAGAGACACGGTACTGACTACAGCCAAGTAAAAGGTTGGAAAAACACGTTGTTTTATACAGGATTGAACTTTGGTCAAATCTGAGGTATTACTACAGCTGTTCCAAACGACACTCTTCTTATGTCTTTGAAAGTATCTAAACATTATTAAATTACAATAAAAACAACAGTTTTATATTTGTTTTCGACTAGGGGAAATAAGCAGTTTAAAAATTGGTAGAATTAAGGTTATACTTCTTATTGAACCCTATCCTCGAACACGGTCGTACTTTCAGCCATGGGGATGTATGTCATAATGTGATGGTCAATCCCACTATTCGATTATCCCAAGAGTTAGTGGTGGCTGGTGTTAACTAGCTGCCTTCCCTATTACTCATAAATCGGGAACGGCTAGCTCAGATAGCCCTCAAGTAGCTTTGTGCAAAATTCT